AAAGAGGGTGAGTGTGGGGGGGTGGGGGGGGGGGGGGGGGGGGGGGGGGTGACCTGACCTGACCTCCACAGGGTCCACAGTGTTCTGCAGGGTGCTGCGTCCACTTCTCCCCCACCTCCACCTCCTCTGTTTGAACGTCTCGATCTGGTCTGTCCTCATGACACTGGACGTAGACCTGTGGAGAAGAAGACCACGCCCATCGTCCCTGTCCTTAATCACAGCTTTCTTTTCATCTTGACCTTCAGACCAACGTTCTGAGATTATTTTTCTCACAATTTTGATCATAAAACAATTCAATTTTTTAGATCAGATTGGTTTTCTTCAATTTTCCTAAAAATGTGGACTTTTTAGTAACTAAGGAAGAAAGACATATGAAGACAGAGTTTCAGAGACAGAGAGAGTAGTCTGACCCCTGACCTGTGTGGTGTTGGTGTTCCCAAAGGTTCTGATGTACCGGTCGTATTCGTTCACAGGGGGGAGGTCCAACAGAGAGGTGGTCAGGGAGAAGTCCAGCTCCATCAACCTCAGCAGCTCAGCGCTGCGTTTCCTGTCAACGCAGAACAACAAACCACTGGTTCAAGTACCGTTCAAGTACTGTTGAAGTACTATTCCAACTCGTACTGAATCAAATTACTTCTGTCTGGTGGAGACTTTCTTGTTGACTTCACGCTGTTTGGCTGCCACAAAGTCGATGAACCTGCCGGGCTGTGGGGCTGGACCAAGACGGAGAAAAGAAATGGGCGTGGCTTTTAGCGTTGCAGGTCAAGACGAAGTGGAAAAACGATATGGTGTCACATCACCTTTGGAGCATGGATGTCCCTGGTCCCCCCCCCGTGGGGACTGAGCCACTCCTACTCTCTGGTTCTCCTCCTTCATCGCTCTCTGGATGGATTCAATCTCTTTTTTCTTTTCTGCTGTCACTTCTTCTGTGGTCGCTTCAAACTCAGACTCACTTTCATCTTCACTGGGGTTGAAGTCTTCAAAGTCTTCCTCGTAGTCCTTTAACCAGAGAAGAACACGGTTTTCACTCTGACCACGACCACGACCTGATCGTTATTCCTTATCGTTCATCAACGCCTGGCTGAGGTGGAGAAGATTCCAGAACTCTGAATACTCACCGCTTTCTTTGACCGTTAACCATTACAGCACGCAACGTTAATACAAAGACAGAGAATATACGTCATTCACCACGAATGTACGGAAAGAAAAACACACACTGGAGCAGGTGTGTGTGTGTGTGTGTGTGAAGGAATGACGTGTCATCCTGGAGCAGGTGTGTGTGTGTGTGTGTGTGTGTGTGTGTGTGGTCTTACTTCAAAGTCATCTTCATATTCATATTCCTGGTCATGGTCTTCTTCATCACCTGCCTGTAGGTCATCAAACACCAATAACAACAGTTGTTCTGAAGTACAGAGTACAACACAGATGAGATAGCATTAAGATAAAGATGCAGTTACAGATTCAAACGCCAGAGGGCGCACCGGGCACACAGGAGCAGATTGTGTTGTAGTGGAAACGATCATAAACTTTTATTTTGACATTTAGTGCAGCAGCAGGCTGGACGATGACCGTATATACTGTTGTAATCTGTCAGGTTTTCTATTTTTTCTGCTCAAACTTTATATGAGAGTTAACTTTTATAACAGTTTGGTACAGGTTTGACTCCACAACTCAAGTCTGGGACATGACAGAGGACTAGTTAGCACTACTAACCTCAGCTTTAACCCTGTTAGTCTCACGTTCTTTACTTTTTCCAGCTGCTTCGTTCGTGGCGTCCATTCTCTCATGGCGTTTTTCATTCGTGGCGTCCATTCTCTCATGGCGTTTTTCATTCGTGGCGTCCATTCTCTCATGGCGTTTTTCCGTCCATTCTCTCATGGCGTCGTGGCGTCCATTCTCTCATGGCGTTTTTCATTCGTGGCGTCCATTCTCTCATGGCGTTCTTCTTGTGGTCGTCTTCTGTCTCTCACACCTTCTTTGTCTCGGTGTCTTCTTTCTTCTCTGTCACCGTGACGCTGTCTTTCCTCCTCATCCAAAGTCTTCTGTCGAGAATCACTGTCGTACTTCTGCCGTTGGCCCTGTAGTGGACGACAGATGTAACTACAACAGCATTGTTCCTTCGTTCCAAATTAAAAACACAAAGGTACTCACAGCGTCTTCTCTGTCCACTGTGTGTCTTCTATGTCCAGCCCTGTCTTTACTTCTTTCCACTTCCTGTCCTCCGTGTCTCTCTTGATCTTTTTTTTTTCTTTTCTCCCGTTCATCTCGCTGTTGCTCTCTTTCCTGGTGACGCTGTCTCTTTTCTCTGTCATGTTTTTCAACCCTTCCTTCTCTCCCACTTCCACCCTCCTCATGTCTCCTTCTCTCCCTCCTTTTCTCCCTCTCCTCTATCTCTTTTTCCATTCTTTTGTCTCTCTCACCTCCATCATGTCCCTCTCTGTCCTTTACCCCGTCTTTGTCTCTGCTCTTTCTCATGTCATGCTTCTGTCTGTCCCTTTCCTTTCTTCTCTCTCTGTCTTTGTCCCTCTCTTCTTTTCTGTCTCTGTCCTTGTAACTTCTCCTGTCCTGTGACTCATCTGCATGTCTGTCCCTTTCTTCATCATGTCTTTTCTCTCTTGTGTCTCCGTGCTTGTCCCTCTCACGTCTGGACTCCTTCTCTGTGTCTCTGTGACGTCTGTCTCCTCCACGGTGCTTCCTCTGGCTGTCCTCTCTCTTCCTGACGTATTCTTCCACTGGTGTTTCATCCTAAAGATGAACAAACACATAGAATCAGACCAAACTAAACGTTTCAGAATTGATGATTCTGACGTCAATAATTGTAATCATGATAGCAGACCAAAAACATTCAAATGATATAAAAGCATAACATCGGTCGTTGAGTGTAGTTTTCTGTTCGTACTTACTCTTATGTGTCTTCTTAGTTCGGCAGTTTTCCATGTGTCTTCCATTGACTTTTCCTACAGATTGATTAAAGTGTTACGTTTAAAACAACATATTAAAAGTTCGCTAAAAATGCATGTTTAACGATTAACGTTACATCGTTAATGACTGAACATTTCAAAAACGACTACTGTAATGGACTGATCTTTAGGCATATTTGACAAAGTTGTTTTCGAAAACACACTTTCAGTCGGTGGAAAAACATGTTGAAAAAACTCACCTTGTCTCTGTTCATGGTTTCATTTGTCTAATTTAAAGCAATTGGTTTTGTTTAATCCAGAAACTCTTTGTTTAATCCAGAAGCTCACATATTTCCATTGACGCCGCCATCACGGTAAACACACAGTACGCATGCGTACTTTGTTTAAACCAAGGAGAGCGTCTCAGTTAAGCCTGACAACAGTGTGAAGAGCCGAGAGCCGAGCAGTCGATCATCAACACCCAGTTGCTATGACTACGGTTGAAGACCTAATCATATATAACCGTGTGAGTTACAATTTATAAAACTTGAAGTCGAAGAACACGTGGTTCATCTGGACGATTCGTCCACAGTTGGTTATATTTTATCTACGGGAACTACAGTATGTAACGGAACCAATCACTGCTCCAATCGTTTAATGATGCCTGTCTGTACGGTTTGAACCAGGGCAATTTTCAACGCGCTCCATGTGGACCACATGCATAGGTTGTGGCCCAGACTGTTCACACTACTTTAACCTCTTATTATACTTAGGTTTTTATATTTGTAGTAAAATTCATCGTATCTTCTTTATTCTTCAAAATAAAAATCAAATATAAAATACACTGGTAAATAAACCGTATCCCACTGGGTGGTAAACGGATGGCATATTTGTTTACACTGAGATGACTTGCTAAAAACCAGACCAGTTGGGTGACAACACTCTTCATTCTGTTACAATGGAAACACCACCACGAGGTGGTGGTGTTTCTTCTCCTTTCCTGTAGCGTTCCCGTGATTCTGGCAGCTGTGGGACCGCACACGTCTGAGCTCCTGAGCGTTTTGGGGAAAGGCTCATTCCTTCACTGCGTGGACACAGAGAGACCGGACCGAACTGGACTGGACTGGACCGACTCCGCAGACTAATTCGCTCGGAGGAATGCACCTCTGGATTTGAACAAAAACGTTCGACTAAAAGGTAAATGACAGCGGTTTTTGCGATTACAATGGACTGGAGTGCTGCAGGTGAACCGACGTGAGAAGACCGACCACGGAACACCCGCGTCAGTGCCACCGCACATGGACACCCAGTCACGGGACGTGAGTAGGAGCTACATTCAAACAATTTTAAAAAAAGAACGGTGCGACTCAGAAGCGTGTCGGGGACAACATGACAGCTGTACGGGGGGGCAACACTGACACTTCACCCAAAGAGAACGGACACATCACTCTGGACCCGAACCAGGCTCAGTCCACTGACACAGAGGAGCGCCCTGTGACCTCCACCTGTGAACTGACCCAGACCTGGGTCCACTTTGCAAAAACGTTTGTTTTAATTTTCCCCATTTACGCCCTGGGATACTTTGAGTTCAGCTTCAGCTGGCTGTTGATTGGACTCGTTGTGTTCTTCTGGTGGAGAAGGAACACTGGTGGGAAGAACAGTCGGCTGCGCAGAGCTCTGGCCTTCTTGGAGCAGGAGCAGGGAAGTGTCCAGCACAATCTGACCACGTCGGACCTGCCACCGTGGGTGAGTAGCAGGGCCGTGCAAAGATACTGAGGGGGCTGGTGTCCTGGTCAGAGGGAGAGCAAACTCTCATTAGTAACAGAAGTAATCCAGATATACAGTATGTAGGTACTGTATATATATATGTACTGTATATATATATGTACTGTATATATATATGTACTGTATATATATATGTACTGTATATATATACTCTATGTACTGTATATATGTATATAAATGTACTGTATATCTATAAATGGTAGCTCTGTACCTGGACTGGTGTAGCTAACGTTAGCTCAGGTGTCTGTACCAGTCCTGGTACAGACTACATGGACTGACACTGGGGTCAGTGACCTGACAGAGACGTCAACAGGTGAAACAAAGACTTATTTATAAAGACTCATTTTGCTGAAACATGAAACCTTGGATATCAGGATTCACACAGCTGACAGAAATATTCTTTCTTCTCACAAACAGAACGACACTCGACACCACAAACACATCACACACTGTTGCTTCACTGGGACAAACAGCAAGAAAGTAGAGAAATGAAGCTGTAGGTACATCAGCTTTGCTGTGATTGGCCGTCACAGAGTGGAGGTCAGTGTCACAGGTTTGAATTCAATCATGAATTAACCCCTTCACTGGACAACGGGGCCGTTCTGACCCGGGGCAGTTCTGACCCGGGGCAGTTCTGTGGTGACATACTGTATGGACCTGGACTGTGGGGGTAAAACACTCACCACAGATCCACTCCACACAATGTTGAAAAAACAAATACAACTATTATCATTTGTGAACTTGTCAGTACTTGTCAGTACTGGGTGTCAGTAATTCTTTTGTCATGAACAGAAGACCTGATCATTCCAAAAGCAAACTCATATTTCTGTGTGAAACACGGGTCAGTTTATCAGTGTCTTCATCTACTACCATCTACTTCAACACACCACCATCAGGACAATCAGTGTACTGCAGTAGACAAACATGTACTGTAATACTGGCTGAGTGCTTTGGTAAAATGTGCCTTCTTACTCAATGTACACATGATGTCAGAGGGTAAATACTTTACCACCCCCCGGGGTGTGCACCTGACTCTCCACCATCAGGGGGCGTCCTCTGAGATGGTCCTGCTCACGTCTGTGGTATATTTATTTGTGAACAATCCTTCCAGGAAGAAGAGAAACAATCAGCTGTCAAGGTGAGGGGGGGTCGGGTGCAGCTGTAAAGCCCAGCGACCAGCAGCTGCCCCCCCCCACCCCCCCCGGTCTAAATACAGCAGGCTACAATGGTGAACCAGACACCAGAGCCGCAGGCTCCTGTTATTTTGGGATCTCTGTAGTTATCACTGAGACAACACTGGGGACGGGGTGACCACCAGGGGGAGGACAGGGGGGGGGGTGACCTGTGAATGTCCTGAGGTGGCAAAAACTTCATCAGTTAGATGGATCAGGAATGAAACCAGACCAGGGACACCACCTGGTACCAATGACAGGTGTTTCTGTGGTCAGGAAGAAGGAGAACAGTGCCCCCCCCCCCCCCCCCGAGGAGGGGGTCCTGTTCTCTCAGGAGGAAAGTGTTGATGCAGCAGCTCAGTGATGTTAACACTCAGTGATGCTAACACTCAGTGATGCTAACACTTCTACAGTATGTGATGTAACTCATCTGGGTTTTTCTACGTGTCAGCAGCGACGAGGCCAAAAATGCTGCCGACACAAGCACTCAGCTGTTGTTGAAGCCCTGGAGAGATGTACTGCTGTGTACTGCTGTGTACTGCTGTGTACTGCTGTGTACTGCTGTGTACTGCTGTGTACTACTGTGTACTGCTGTGTACTGCTGTGTACTGCTGTGTACTACTGTGTACTGCTGTGTACCTCAGCTCTACCTGAAAGTGTCTCTTGCTATGTTATTTTATTTAGGTTTGACTCGAAGCAAAACATGTCCATATATGGCCTGCAGTCCCACTGTGGTACATGGACAGATTTGTATTTTTTTGTTATTTTTCCTAAACTAAAACATAATAGTAAGCACTGACTGTATCTTCTCACGGCTCAGGAGATCGGCCGGAGAATAAACCGGATTAAATTTGATTCTTAAATCTGTGGCAACATTTTTCCTGATGGTTCAAATTCCATGAAGATCAAACTCCATCCTGTGGTTGTTATTGATCGGTTATTAGTTCCAGCTCAGCTGTCAGTTCATGTTTATTAATGGTCATTGAATTGACATCACAGCCTTTCTTTGATCTTCTCCAGGTCCATTTTCCAGACGTGGAGCGAGTGGAATGGCTGAACAAGGTAAGGAGCCGTCGGTGTCGTAACTCGTCTGTTACTGCAGTTACTGAGTCTGTTGGCCATGTGGACCATGTGACCTCATCCAGGATGTGGATTTGACAGATCTCTGCAGGCTTTGAAGTCTCATCATGAGTCTTCCTGAAAGTCCAGGGTCCGGTTCTTGAAGTAGTCTTAGTACTAACTCAGAGTTAACTCTGTACTAGAGGGAATGTTCTGGTTTCATAATGTAGACTAGACCGTGACGTTGACTCGGTTGCTATGGCAACATACTCCGTGGATCAAACCTGCTCCGTAGCAGTTTTAAGCTCCTTCAGTCTGAGTTAATCAGTCAGTAATCAATATACAGGGCGTGGCCGTTTGTTGAGGAGTCTGTGACGTCACAGCTCAGTTGGTGAGAAGAAACTGACGCCAGGAGAGAATCCTGAGACCACGGCTGGATATTTTAGATATTTTGGCTTCAGGAAGCCAGAGTTTCATGAACCAGCTGTAACAGTAACAGTAACAGTAACAAGACCAGCTGCAGTAACTTTTCCTTGTGTCCGTCCTGTGTCTCTTCTGTACGGTGACGATCAACTGTCTTCCTGTTTCCTGGCAGACGGTGAAGCAGATGTGGCCGTACATCTGCCAGTTTGTGGAGAGACTATTTCGGGAGACCATCGAGCCGGCGGTGAAGGGTTCCAACGCCCACCTCAGCACCTTCAGCTTCAG